GACACACTCTCTCACACACCCTGGACAGGACACCAGTCCATCACAGGACACACACTCTCACACACTCTCACACACCCTGGACAGGACGCCAGTCCATCACAGGTCACACACAGACACACACTCACACTAGGGTCAATTCTCCCAGTTTAACCTAGCAGGATGTCTTTGGACTGTGGGAGGAAGCTCTCGAGAACACGTGGAGAACATGCAGACTCCACACAGACAGCACCCCAGGAACTGAACCCAGGGCCCCAGGGCTGCTCTGCTAACCACTGCACGACCCTGCCGCCCTCCAGGACTATATCTGGATGGTGAAGACCATCGGGCACGCTCCTCTGACCCCGGTCACACCAGCGCGCTGTACGATTTCATTACACCATCCCAGTGCCGAGACGCTGTGCTTTCAGGAACTGCTCTGCCTTTTTTATCGCCACCCCACATTGTCTAGCCCAGTCCTGGGGTCCCCCTGCTGGTTTTCCTTCCAATGGGGCCGTTAACCCCCAGTGCTAATTCCGAACTGGAGTTGATCCACTCGCTTGCTGGTTTAGATCTGGGCACAGAAAGCCTCATGCACTTTCCCCTGGGCTTGATAATCACAACAACTTTTGATTTATAAAGCGCCTTTCCAAACCCAAGGAGGAAAAAAGAAAAAGACCCAAAAAAGTACAATGAAAGTGCATGAAGTAAGAAAACTAAGAGCGACAAGAGCACACGGGTTTTTACAGACTGCCTGTAGGCGATCGGAGGTAGACCTTGGTTAAAAGGCACGTTTCCCGTTTAGATCTAAAGAGAGTTACAGAAGCTGTTTCTCGCAGAGTCAGAGGAAGATTATTCCACACCGCTGCAGCAGCAACACAAAAGGCCTGGAGACCAGCCCCTGGTTTCGTCCTGGGGCCAGTGAGCAGAGGAGCAGCCCCAGCTGAGCGGAGGGTGGACACGGAGGAGCTCAGAGACGCGTGATGGAGCCAGATTGTTTAGAGCCCTGGAAGTCGGCGACAGGATCCTGAATCGAATACGTGACTTTACAGGCAACAGCCACAGAGAAACGTGTGTGGGAGTGACATGCTGCCGGTGTCTGGTGTGAAGAAGCAGTTCAGCTGCAGAGGTCTGAACATATTGCAGCTTGTTGAGAACAGAGCCTAAACAGCAAAGAATGAAAATGAAGGACTCGTATATTTCCCTCAACAGCTCCGAGCAGGAGACCAGTTGGCGATGAGGAGGCAGAGACTGGGAACGACGCTGTGTCAACACCGGGCGCTTTCCTTTTTTTGTTCCAGTCCCGCTGGTCCGATTCAGCTCACACACGCCACTGAGGGCGGTTCTGAATGTTCCGGCTTCGACCCAGGGCCGGTTCCGCTTGCCGACCGCTCCCATCCGGCACTTCGGGAGAATCAGAAAAACGTTCAAATGGCGCCGCAGTAGGAAAGCTGGAATCAGTTAGCCTGCAATGAACAATCCAGCTGAAGTCATCGGTTCAAGTTTCAAGTTTATTGTCATTACACTCATATACATGGTATAGGGTATAACGAAATGCTATTTAGCTAGCTCTCGGACATAAGTAGTACAAAGAGAAAAACAACAACAACAACAACAATACAATTGTGTAGCAAAAGAAAGACAGAGACAACAGGCAATGTGCAAAACAACAACAACAGGCAATGTGCAAAAAACAACAACAGGCAATGTGCAAAACAACAAAAAGGTAGCAGGGTATGTGCAAAAATATGCATCAACAGAATAAAATAAAGGGATAGAAATGATGGGGAGTGAGCTTTTGACATGTACTGTATGGTAGAGGTAGATTTTCAATGTGTGTTTGGGTTTTTGGTAAAGAAAGAAAGGAAGGAAGAAGGCACTGTGAGGTTCAGATCATAGGTGAGAGTGAGAGTGAATCGGTGAGCCGTCCCCCAGGATTAGGACTGAGAGCCGATGGGCTAGAAGACATGAAAGATGTCTCAGTGAAGCACTGTAGCTTTCTCAAGCGCGCCGTGTCCCACGGTGCACTCTGCTGTCAGTCTGGGCTCTCACGTTCGTGGGCTGGTCACCCCCGTCGCCTCTGCAGCAGGAGATCCTGCCAGAGCTGACTGCGGGCCGAGGGCCATCAGGGTCCCCCCAGTGAGGGCGGCCAGTGCCCTTCTCCCCGTGCTCGTGTGGGTCTCCTCCTGGTGTGCCGGTTTCCTCCCGCAGTCCAGAGGCACGCTGGGAGCTGAATTGGCTTCTGGGAAAACCGGCCCGGGTGTGAGCCTGTGTCTGTCTGTCCCGTGATGGACAGGGTGGACCGTGCTCGAGCCCGTCACCTGGGCTTGCAGGAATAGGCTCTGGCTCCCCTGCGGCCTTGAACTGGATAAAACTGTCAAAAACACGGATGGATTGATGAATTGGTTGGTGGATTGATTGATTGGCTCATCTTCCTGTCGCCATCACCTCCATTAGCCCCCTGACTCTCTCGTATCTCTACCTGATGAAGCACACACGCCCCTTTTCTGTCTCACTCTCCATAGACTGTAGATACATATATATTAAGTACAGCGTCTCCATCATCTTCGTCATCATCTTCCTCAGCCCGTATTAATCCCCTGCTAGATTAAAATATAGAAAGTCACCAGGGCTGGGAGCCAGGTCGTTCTGTGTGCCTGCAGTTTGCAACAGTTCCTCAGTCGCTGCCAAAGCTCAAATCGAATATCCAGAGGTATTCTGGGGGAAACACTGATTTATAATCAAGGATGCTGGCTCTCTTCCCTCTGGAACTCTGCTGCCTGCCAACAGAACAAGGGCCAGGACTGCTCTGTCCATGCTGCGTTCCCAGAGGACGGAGTACAGGGCTTTTCTTTGGTCTGCCTAATACACCTGCAGAGCTGGCTGTCCAGAGAGGACAGGCTCAGTGACCACAGTCTGGACATAGAAACTGGACACAGGCAGACCTGGCTATCTAGAGAAGACAGGCCCAGTGACCACAGACTGGACATGGAAACTGGACACATACAGACCTGGCTGTCCAGGGAGGACAGGCTCAGTGAACACAGACTGGACATGGACACTGGACACAGACAGGCCTGGCTGCCTAGAGAGGACAGCAAGGCAAAACAGAAGAGGAGATGCACTTTCTGCAGCACTACAAGAAATACTCTAGTAGTATACATTCTTCCCTAAAATAATCTAAGAATTCCATCAGCTGGCAGAACAGGAACAGCTCCCAGTCCTGTACTGAGGGAGGAAATGCAGTAGAGCTGCAGTCCTGTGTGTGATCTCCTGTCACAGCCTAATAATGGGTAGTACTTTGGCGGCACTGTAATTCATCACTCATGTCAAGAAAGATCTGAATTTGACAGGTGAAGGATGAAGTTTCCAGCCAAGGTTAGGGTGAGAAAGAGAGTCAGGCTATCCCAGCAGATGGCGCTCTAAACACACAGCTTGTCTGCTGTTCGACTACACCTGCACTGTTAACAAGTAAGAACCTCACGACAGGTGTGGTGTCTGCACCATCTGATGACACGGGTGGAGACTTGGGAATTAAGTGTGTGGACTGGACTATTTCAGATACAGGAATAGTGTGGACTGGAGTATCTCAGATATAGGGATAGTGTGGACTGGAGTTTTTCAGATACAGGGAATATATGCACTAAGTATTTTGGATAAGTATTTTGGATATAAGAATTGTGTGGACTGGAGTATTTTCGATATAAGAATTGTGTAGACTTTAGTATTTTCGATATCAGAATCATGTGGACTGGAGTATTTTGGATATAAGAATCTTGGGACTGGAGTATTTCAGATGTAGGAATTGTGTGCACTGGAGTATTTCAGATATAGGAATAGGGTGGACTGGAGTATTTTGGATATATTAATCGTGTGGACTGGAGTATTTTCTATATAAGAATCGTGTGGATTGGAGTATTTTCGACGTAGGAATCGTGTGCATGGGAGTATTTCAGATAAAACTATTTTCTCCATCTCATCTGTTTTAATGTAAACTCTTCCATTCAAAACGACAGTAATAACCTTAGCTTAAAAACAGGAACAGGCACAAATTAAAAACATTAATGATCATATATACAGTACAGCTTTTTTAAAAGAACAAGAAATCGCTAAAGATTGTATTTTCACTTTGCGTCATGAATCAATAAAGATGTGTTACTGTAGTTTGGAAGAGGGTGACAGATGGATTTTCACTGATTGATCTGGCTGGGCTGAAAACTGCAAGGCTAAAACTCTGAAGGCTGCAACTCTGTAGCACTTTCCTGGTCCTGCCAAGAGCCCCAGATCTGAAGATCAGTGGATCTGGGCAGTGATAAATACTGTGTGTGCGCAGTAGTTAACAGAAACACGGTGGGAACTGCTGACCCACAAACTGGCCTGGTTTATTAATGATGTGAAGTGACACCGAGCGTTAGAAGGAAAAGCACACTTCAATTTGCAAAAACAAAAACACACAGTCTCAAAGCAAAGGATCGTTTTGGATCATTTTCAGAGGCGGCGGTGTGACGCTGGCCTACCAGGAAGACTGCTGCAAAGACACCCTTGTTAAGAGTGCAGAATAAGAAGAAGAGACCTGCCTGGGCCAAAAAACACAGAAAATGGACCTTTGAGGCCAGCTTCACGCAACCTCCTCTGAACAGGTGAACTCCTCTGAAACATCTGGTCTTCTAGTTGCACTGAGCTCAGCCTGTATTTCAGGGTCAGTTAGTCGCCAGTTTGGCAGACTTGTGACTCTAATGAACGTATTCTCTGATTCTGAGGTCACCTTTGGCCTGCCTGATCTTTTTCGGTCCTCCTGAGTGCCAGATTCTTCATATCGTTTGATAGTCTTGGCCACAGCAGTTACTGACACTAGCAATTTGTTCTTGCAATTTGTCTTAAAGATTGACTTTCATTTCTTAAAGTAATTATAAACTGTGTTTCTTCCTTGCTTGCTGAGCAAATTTTGCTATGTTCATTCAGGAATGACAAACGTTTGCCCATGCTCCCTATATTTATAATAATCACGTGTGTCTTTACAAAAGGTAAATGAGGTAACATGCTAGTAAACTGTGGGAACATCTAACAAAGACAATTTTAAACTTCTTTTAGTGTGCTAACACCGTGTTATACACATTTCTGACTTTTAATTAACCTGGGCTTCAGACTGCTTGCTTTGAGTATTCATTTTATTGAAAATGAAAAATTAACATTTTCAATGCAGTTCACCTAAGATTATAAGTTCACATACAGTATCATGTAATTAAATATTAAGTGTTGATTAACAAGTTTATACAGTTTAAACTACAGATAATGATGGAAGAACCTGGTTTCACACAGTACCTTTGACTGGTACTGGTACTGCATATCTACAGTATATGAAGAGTGAGATCATCAGGATCTCATACAGCTGTGTCCTGAAACAAGGTATCGGCTTCAACAACATGGCTGGGCAGCTTGTTCCACACTCCCACCACCCTTTGTGTAAAATGCTGCCTCCTGCTCTGAATTTTTAATTCGCTTCCTTGCAACTGTCACTCGTGCCCTCTGGTTCGTGTTTCACCCAAACACTACTGCAACCACCACTGAAACATCGGTTCCTCGGATAGGGCCAAGTTTTTAAATGCTCCGTTTTGTGCTCGCTGTTGTGTCGCCTGATTTATGTATTTTATCGATCTATAAAGTCCGCTAGATTGTAATACTATAAACACTTTGCCCCGAGTAGTGATGTGCTGCGTTGGCTGAATGACGTTAATGATTCTTCTGGGAACAACTGCAGTTGGAACACCAGGGCCCCCTAGCGAGCAACGCGAATGACTACCGCACTGTCATTAATGAAAGGGGTCAGGGATAGTTTAAACCCCCTTAAATTGTTCTCAACCGGAGAATAAATCACTTCCATTCCGAAGGAATCACAATAAGCGACACCCAGACACCCCCTGCTCCCGCCCTCCCCTGCGCAGGCCGGCCGCGCATGCGCGGGGCCCGACTTCCTCCCGGAGGGCGGCGTGATTGGCCGGCAGAGTCACGCTGCAGCGCCGCTGGCAGGAAAGTTTACTGGGAGCGCAGGAGGAGGTCGAGTGCGTGCCGTCGTAGAGCCCGGGTGCAAAGTCCGTTTTCCGTGTCGGGTCTGGATGCGAGTGGGGTCGGGGTGCAGCCGAGATGCGAGACCGGACGAGAGAGCTGGGCGATGTAAGTGCGGTCCCGTCTCTCCGACCCTCGGCCAGCCGGGCTGGTGGCTGTCTGCTTTGCACGCACCCCTGGGCGTGTTGTGGCACACAGTCTCGCTACTTTCTACGTCGCGATCGACACCGAGAAAGGGCTGGGGGTAGCTTTGCCCTCGTCCTTTTTTTTTTTTGCACTTCAGTCGTTGACGAGGCGCTGATCGTGGAAAATAAGCATGATAATATTAATAAAAGATAGATTTGTGAAGGTCCCGTTGAGATTAAAAGGACAAAGAAGGAAGACAGTTAAAATCGCGTATCTGGGCTTCCTCTCAGTGTCTGGTTCCCTGTTATCTGTGTTGTATCTTCTGCTATGTTCTGAAGCACTAAGAAAACAACACACGGGAGCTGAGAAGCGACGGCCTGTTTAAAAAAGAGTTTCTCCAAACCCCCCTCCGGGGCTGCCCGGTGTATAAATAGCGCTCCACCTCAACAGGCCGTCCGGGGGCTCCTGATACACACACACACACACCTCTTTCAAAATGAGGTGTCTTCTTCAGTGACGTCCAGCCCGAAACGAAACTTCACACGGAAAGGACGAAGGAGCTCGACTTGTTGCATGGAATAAGAGTACTTTGTCCCGGACGCCCACAAGGGACGGTCTTTATGTCAACTTGAATGCTCGCCTGCCACTGCCCAGTATCTCCACGTTTTTTCCACCAAACGTCACTCGCGCTTTGTACGGAGAGTGTCCCTCTGTCAGACAGTACCAGTCTGTCAGTGGTTCTCGGTTAATCTGGGCAGTATGCGGACAGAGGTTGTGAGTTAATACGCCTAGTGTCTTTTTGAATTAAATATTCAAGCATACCGGTAAATTTAATATTAAAGGTGCTGTTTGTTTTGGGTGATTTTCTTCTGGGTGTGTTAGTAGTCCCAACTTGAGCTACCCTGGAGTCTGTCATAAAGCCTAAGAGTATTAACGTGGAAATACTGATGAACGTTGCTCCTCGCTTTCGGTTTCCCTCTGCAGTGCTGTGTTGTACTCCCCTTAGATCAGATTAGTACCAACATCTGTGTGATTAAAAGAGTGTATTAATCCCTCTCTCAGTGCAGTGTT